GCACAAAGTAGGGACATTAATAAGATATGGCTCTTGGACTTTGTTCTGCACATTGTGACCAAATGATCAGATACATTTACAAAATGATTGACTTTTGCTGTGTCACACTGGAGACTATGATGAGCACTGTGAGCAATTTTTATTTCTTGTTGTTCCTAAACATTTGTTCACTGACTCTAACCCACAATGTCTGGGAAACACTGAAGCAAGAAGGAGCAGATGGAGTATTGTTGCATTGCAATAACACTGCTCCAATGACAACCTAACTACATGTTAACTACTGTACATTGTTCTATCAGTCCCTCAAAAATCTAAATACAACACCACATGAGATGATATATACTGCACAATGAGCCCTTGTCTTATTCACTTACAAAACTGACATAAGTATGATGGGATGTCATCATGAGATATTTCCAGAACAGCTGCATTAGAATTATTAAGGAAAATAGCTGTCAAATCATCATTGGTAAACGTCAGTTCTTCTATCTGCTCCCCAGATCTGCTTGCACAATTGTTCAAATGTCACACAAAGAGGAGCCTGTTATGTTAAAAGCAGTAACAACAAAAGATCCAACAATGCAGTCACAAAATTGGTTAAGTTTTGACACCCTCTCCTGACCAGCGTGCTAGCTGCTCCTATCGTCTGCAGTCTCTTAGCCTACATGTGCAAAGGTAAATATTGGGATTTAGTGTAAATATGGTAGATTTTCCTGTCTTGTACAATCTGTAAAGCAATCACACTCATGAATACACACAATTTGTAATGTGCACATGAATACACAAGACCAAGAGTCTATTACCAGCTATGTGAGGACAGTGTTTTGAGCCAAATTACGCATGCTAACATGCTCACAATGACAATCATACAGTAACATGCTGTTGTTTAGTGAGTATACTTACCATATTCAATACCTGCTAACATCACCATGCTAACATGCTAAGGCATGTGTCACTAGAAAACAAAAATGCCAGTGGATCACCAATTTCATCTTCTAGGGACAATGAGTGTCTTTACAAATGTCAGGACAATCCATCCAACACTTGATAAAATATTCTTCATTACATCATTAGAGACATGCCTCTAACATGGCTAAACACATTAAGACCATTGCTCTTATGCAGGTATTTGAAATAGTTGAATATTAGATAGCTTTATGAGAGTAAATTTACAAACATTCTGTGAAGTATATCCCCACAGAATCACACTTTTCCTCCAACGCTGGACAGTGCAGCTGGTGGAGTTGGTGTAACTTTCTATTCTTGAGATTTTTTTTTGTTAAAGATGAGGCATATGGCAGACAAGGCAGATGGCAAGAAAAACAAAATAACAAACTTTATTACTTCTATCACATTAAACATTCATAAGTGTTACAAGGAAGCTGCACCAAAGCATCGTGCACTGACAGAAGAGTCTACTGTTTTATTGTTTTCAGTGTGTTTGTTGGTTGGTTGCTAAAAACATGAAAATAAGTCATATTTAATTTCAGGGAAGAAATTGTCACTTGTGTTAACACAGCCAGTGGATGTGTTAAATATCACCTGATATCACATGGAAGAGCCTGTGAGAGATGATAGCAGACATCCACACTGGTAGTGCTGCATTACACATGCCGGCCTGCTGTCCTCATAATCTCCATGCCATCTGGTGGGGAACCTCACTGTCCCCCTGCACCCATGGCACATTAGTATTCCTCTCACACTGAGCGAGGGAGGCCAGTCGTGTGTGTGACATTCCTCAGTAACATAAAAGAGTCGACACCAGTGAGGATTAATCGAAGGGCTACAGGGCCCACCTCCGACAAACCTGGCTCATTTCAGGTAATGAGAACACTTACTTTTTAATCTTCCTCGTTGTTGTCCTTGCTTGTGCGTTTTACAGCCCCTTCACAAAGTCATCATCCTCTCATGTTGTCCACAAATAGACCCAAGAATTTATACTTCATGCTTCTGCAAAAAGTGTGGGCTAAGATGTTTTATTGACACTGGCAAAAATGTAATCCCTTTGATGTTCTTGAAAAAGCGCCATCTTTTGGAAAATGACTAATATAATCCTTAATGAAGACCTAAACGATATATAACAGTGTGACATCAAAGTCATGTTTTTTCAATTGACTGAACATTGGCTGCTGCTCATTCACAGTGCTCTCATTTTCTGTCTTGATTACGGTAACAGCTACAGTTCACCAAGTCACGTAGCCTCAGGCGGGTCTTGCCTGATGCCTTGGCTCAGATTTCTTTTTTTTTTTTTTTTTTTAGTAGGAGAACCCGGTCAGCAAACAGAGATTGGGACTCTTTCGAGTGGTGCTTCAAACAGTGTTTCCAGTGTTCAGTGTGAGCGCTGATCAAAGACCGATCCTTTCCTTTTCAAATCCACATGGCCTCTCATTAGTGCCACACCGGGAGGAGACTTCTCAGACAGGAACTGATGGTAGTATCATTATTTCCAGCTTTACATTTGAGTACAATGCTGAGATTTCTTTTAGGTGCTATACTTTATGGTGTGTTTTCACAAGATCAATAAAGGAGAGCAAAGACATGTGGTGTCACAGGTTTCTGTGAGAAGTGATCAGTGATTTTTGGACTGGCCACTGTAAGTTTATGGTGACCTGTTGGATAGAGCCACCTGTAGGATATTTACATTTCTTGTCAAAAGAACAAGATATGCAAAAAGACATGTGATTATCAGAAACAAAAGTAGACTCAAACATTACCCCACATTACAGCAGAAGCAGCAGTGCAGATTTAAATTTAGGATTTTACAACAAAATGCATGAAATGTGCAGCATCTTTATATGAAATGTGTAAAAACTTAACCAACAACATTAATTCTCCATAAATCATTTAAGACAAATTTTGATGGTATTAAGTGGGACAAATAATTGCTGCCTAAATGTTAAACCGCTGCTCATAGACATAGTGGATAATGATGCTGCTGTAAATATTACTGTTTGATATCTGTGCCACCCTGTGCTGGGTTCCAGGACTGATTCAGTGCTCCTTGGAACAGATTCTACATCAGGCAGTCTTCTGGAGGGGTGACTACCACTCTTCCTGAAGATATTCCCTTATTTTAATTTTTTATTATGGTGGTGGTCAGTCCAAAACCCCCCATAGGTGTCCAATTGGATTGAGACCCGGTGACAATGAAGGGTGTAGCCTAGGTCATTCACATCATTTTCATACCCAGAAAACCATTCAGTGAATGTGAGAGCATCAACATTCATTATGTTTCTCCACTTTATTCAGGTTTTTCTTTTAATTTGTCACTTATTATATATTTGCAACCTTCCCTTTGTGGGCTTGCACTGCAGGGTAAACACAGTATGTAAATCCTTAAACATCTGAAAATTCAGTGAAATGTGCGGTGAGTTCCGTCTAGCCAACACCCACTGTGCGTATTTAGAATCCTAAATATTTTCTATTTATGGTAATTTTATCTTTACTTTGCAGCTGCCTTGGCTCAATTTCCCCTCAGGGGATCAATGAAGTTCATTTTAATCTTCATAAAAACCTTCTTATAGACCCCAGATAGTTTTATTCTGCAGAGCAGTGATGAAGAAATCTCAATAATACCCATTTGTAAGTCCTGTACAACTTAACTTGCGGGAGTCATAGCAGACCTGAACGGGCGGAAACTCAGATATACTGAATTTGAGGTAAATGAGGCATAAATAAAGAATTGTATTCAGCTTGTGTACTGCTGTGCTTCATTTCCAGCCACAAACCTCATGGCCATTGCTGTAACTCAAAACAGTGAGGAGGTTCTTCTTTTGTATTTGTAGCCTATGGGTACGGTATAAAGTGCATCATGGGAAATAATGAACATAGACTGTAATGCTGCCTCAGTGAAAACATGGAAAATCTCAGAAGCGCTCTAATCATTCACAGCATCGCAAACTTTCTTTTCCCCTCACACACAGTGTTCGTGCTCCATCACCAAACCTTTACCCATTATCCTCTGCTCATTTCGTACCATCATTGTTAGATGCTTGTGGAAACTTTTTTTTTTGTCTAGAACTTGAGAATAAAAAAGAGAAGATAATTTCAGGGGAGTACTTCCTCCTTCCTGTTGCACCTTCTTTACCCTCATTAATTCCAGTGGACCTCCCGCCAACACACACATACACACACACACACACACACGCACTCACACACACACACACACACACACACACACACACACACACACACACACACACACACACACACACACACACACCTGAAGATCAGCTACCCAAAAGACATCTGGTAAATATCTGAAGCAAAAATAATGAGCTACACTTAATTAGTGTGGCTGTTTTTAGGGTCGGGGTACAGGGGATAGCTAAGCAGGTGCATGATTAAATCCACTCTAAAAAAAGGAAGAATGTGCATGCCACAGGTGTCTGTTGCCATGGAGATAAAGAGGTTACTAGGGTGCAATTTGTCCCAATATGGCATTCTTTATGTTTGATGTGATTTGACCATCATCAGTATTTACATTGATTATTTTATATTGTATATTATAGACAACAATTAGCAAATACAAGCACAGCCTTCCTTCAGATCAGTGTGGTGAGAATGGATTGAGATGAACAAAGCCCTTAATTAACACTGTTATCTTAGTCTTTATTTTGTCACAACTGTATGTCAAATATATATACGTCTATATGACATATATTATATGACATATATAATTTCATTTCTTTACATTAGAGAAACAACATAGAGATGACACACTATTTTGGTTTCTAAGTAGAAGCTCCTTTTAAATAGTGGCATTTTTTTTTTTTCAATACACTGTTAAAGTCAAGCTCCCACTCAAGTCACGGTTTTGTTTTTGTTATTGAGTCACATTTATTCACAATGTGTGTTTGTTTGTCTCTTTTTCGTTATAACTTGAAGTCTTTTGTTGTGTCAGTGTTTTTCACTCTGCAGTTCAATCTGTTCATGTTCCTTCAAAATTGACGGCCACCTGTTATTGGTCCGTGTGGCCACACAGATGGTCACACCTGCTAACCATCCTGTGCCGCTAGCAAAGGTATACAGTTATTGGGAACGGTGTCTTTGAAGCTTTACAGAGTTAATCCAATCAGCTTGTAGAGGGCTTGGCATGAGCGTTTCCAGTTCCTCTGCAGCTGGGTCCTTTGGTGGCCAAGGAGCAGTTTGCACCTCCGTACACAAGGGATGTCTGACCTTGGCACTGTCCCTGGGCTTCTCTTTGGCCTGCTGCCTTCAAACCTCTGGTCCCACTGCCTGTGTGCTGAACTCTGGCTGAGTATTGGACGCTTTTCCGTTCCGACTCCTGCACAGTCCCAGCCTCGAGAGTGTTTGTGCCACCGCGGTGGATCTCGCTGTGAGACCCAGACATTTTCATGGAGCTGGAAAGGCTTTTCTGTTTTAATTCCTGCGCAAGCTCCACTGTAATTTCAATGGAGCAGGGTGTTTGTGCGGAGCAGGGATTCTTCTCCAACCCCAGAGGAGCAGTAGTGGTGGCAGAGGGAGGGCTAACACTGCTGGGCATAACACCAGGCGCCAGCACTACAGTCTCGCATGGGGGAGAGGGAGAATTGCTAATGGGCACCATTGCCTTTCCAGCCAGCGCAGGGTGCCACTTGAGGAGCCCCCCTTGGTTCCGCTCACTCGTGTCCACATGCGGCGCTTCGAGGTCACTCGCTTGGAGCGAGGGGATGATGGGCACAGAACGGGTGCGCAGGGAGGGTGGAAGGAAGGTTGTTCCCTTATCCAGACGGGTGCAGGGGACCTCGGTCCATCCTTTTCTGGCTGCGAAGTGAGAGAGCGAGGTCCTGCTGAGGAGGGCGCTGACCCGTCCACTGGCAGAATCACACCTTTAGGCAGAGGAAAGAATAGAAATGGCAGAGTGAGAATGAGAGACCTAGTGATTTATATTGTGACCTTTTCGTCCTAGACACTCATTTCCTAAGAGGAAAAAAAGAGAGTTAGTAATACAGAATATGGAGATAAAGCTTCCATCCTCTTGTGCTTTTCACCATTTCATTTCAATTCCACAAAAAAATCATCTTGCACCAACAAAATTATCATTATTTAGGTATTGTTCTTTCATAATCTTTGTGTAATTATTTATAATCCTCAGCATGAGCAGCCTGTATTGTTGCTGCATGAATGTTTAACTGAAAAATCCCTTCTCTCATGACTGCCTTATCAGAGATTTAAGGCTTTAGCAACACAGCTGCTGGATTCCTGACCCTGGCCGGGGTGAGTGTGTGGAAAAATTATATACTGCCTCCTTGCACTGCTGCATTCGTGTTCTAATTTTAGTGTTAGAAACGAGACTCATAATATAGTCTCACAGAACACGCTTCGTCTGGCAGGCTTATGATGTGACATTTGGGGTGAATGTGGATATGTTTGTGGGTGTGAGAATCTCAGCATGTATGTTTGCGTCACCGTGCATCCAGCGATCACATATTTCAAATGCGCAAAGTATCATGAAGCGTTGCCGACAAGCTTGAAAAGCATCATGTTCAGTATGAAAATAATGCAGCAGAGCCAGGAAAACGTATTCAGAGTCAAGTGGATAAGTTTGTATATACAATGGATGTGCACAAGAGTTAATATTGTTACTGAAGACTCAATTCATATTTTGAATCACCCCGGCGCAGCCTTAGGAGACAGCCAGTGTTATTGTCGGCTTTCAGAGACTGTTTGTAGCATAACCAAGTTTTAATAATTGAATTACTTTCCCACTCCTCCCTCGGTATTAGAAGGGCGAATGGAAGCTGGAGGTAAATCCGGCAGATCAAAACATATCTAAAAATAACTCCCGTAGCAAATTTGCCTTCAATTCTGTCCTTATCTGCGATGGGTAAATATATGTTTTGACACTGGATAATTAAACTGACAGTACTCTGCGGGGATTTGTTGTCACAAAATGGAAAACATGGAAGAGTATTCTCATGTTTGTTTGCTGTCTTTTTTTCCTTTTTCTTTTTTCTTTTTTCAAACACTTTCTACCACACTACACTCTGTGCCTCCATCTTTCCTTCGCTGCACTCTCATCATCCCTACACAATCTTCCTTCTTTCCTCACTTTCCGAATCGCGTTCTCTCACTCTCCTTTCCACCTCCCCGTTTCTCATTTCCAGAGAGGAGAGGGTGTATCCATGGCAACAAGGGAGAGGTGGGGGCTGGAGGAGGAGGAGGAGGAGGAGGAAGAGGAAGAGGAGGAGGAGGCTGTAAGCTTGGTAGCTTGGTGTTGCATGGCTGGTAAGTCGAGAAATAGGTCATTTCAGCCTCCTGAAGGCCGGCGAAAGCAACATTCGACTGACGGATCTGCGAGTGAATCATCAATGGCTAATCAGATCTAAACTGTTTTAACTGCACAAATGCGAGCTTATCCCCAAGAAGACGAGAAGCCCTCTCATTCCAGCTCCTCTCCTAAACACTTGAAAAAGCTATGTTAGATTTAATTGCCCATAGCTTACAGATTTTGCCTTTGTGATTTTAAAAGAGAATTCTCATTAGTTTCTTTATTAGTTAGTTTGTTTGTTATTCTGTGTATGTGCTGGTGAACATTATATGTGTGTTTGTGTGTGTGTGTGTGTGTGTGTGTGTGTGTGTGTGTGTGTGTGTGTGTGTGTGTGTTGAGAAGGAAACTGTTATGGTCCTGCAGGATCTCTCTGCACAACAACCATTGGAAAGAACTGCTGAGCTCCATGGAGCTTTGTTTAAAAATGTAAATTATGGAAATAGGTCACATAAAGAGTTTGGCAGCATGCAGTGTATCTTACAAGTCACTGTAACACGCAGGCAGGTTGGCATGCTAATAGGAACATGGCTAGGCACTTTTAAGTGTGTGGAATGCACGAGGGTGCGGGGACTGCTTCAATGACAGACATTTCTGATAACAGTGCCATCACTCAAGTTGCACACACAGACAGCAAATTAGGCAGTTTCTGAGTCATATGCTAAATAGGACTGCCTTACTCAGGCTTAAAGACGCTCTCTTCTGCATCTGTAAATAAAACCAAAATAATTCAGTGTTCTCGGCGTCACTTGTTTAAGAGGAAATGCCAGTGGAGCTGCTTGACATTCTGCATTATTCTACTGAGGAAAACAAGCACCTCAATGAAGAGTGTAAGATAAATATTTCCTAGCTTTGGTAGCTGCTACACAACAATCTATCTTATTTATAATCTGTAAAAACTTAGAGAAAAGTTTGAACTGATGTGAAATAATGTGAAACTTTGTCTCTACATGGATAATCTTTTTTCCCTCCTTGAGGACACCAGAAAACAAACAAAAAAAAAAACATCTCCTCCTTGATAACAAATGTGTCAGAGAAGATTTCTCATCAGGCTAACTTTTTTTAAACCCATGCCAATTAGGATCATCAGACTCTACTTATAAAATATACCTTTTTTTAACCCCCCAGATAGCCAACTGGCGAAAGATGGCTCTGCCAAAAGACCTTCCTGCTTTTAAAGCCTCCTGAATCAGTGCCAGTAGCTGTGCTTCACTTATGATAGCCATGGAAATAGGGCTACTTGCTGTCCTTACTCGACACCGGGATGAGCATGAGGAGAATTCAGGATGTGTGAATGCTTGAAATTAATCCTTTGCAATTTGTATTCTTGTTCTAGTAGGCTGCAGTCACCCAGTATGGCTCCATATCCAGCATGTAAACGACAGAAAATTAAATTATTTCCTTGATATGTGGACCATGAAGCCTTCACATAATGCTCAAGCATTAGCCAAAATCAAACCATTCTGGAGATCTTGAAATTCATGTAAACTTGTGTATCATCTGATAATTAGCTTAGGCACAGTTGTTGTATTTTTAACCATGATAAAACCATGCAGATAAAACACATTTTCATTCACAGCACCAGCCTGGTGGCAAGTGTAGGGAGGATTACACACAGACTCATATCTTGGACTTCCCCAGCACCATGATAGTGTGGGATCAAGTGCCTTCTCCAAATTAATTGTGACAGTCCCAGTTGAAGGAGGGCACAGCAGATCTCATTTATTTCCCTGGATCAGATTTCATAAACTAGTTCACGGATTTGAACTGAGAGTATTTCAGTCATAAACTCATTTCTCCCAAAATTATCCTTCTGCCACTCCAACTTAACCTCAGTTAGTCCGGGGGTGTGGATCGCTGAACCGGCTATTTGACCTCAGTGTGGAGGGAGGCAGAGAGAATTTCCTCTTTGAGGGCTGAGCAAACATGAGAAAACTAACAAGAAGACAGAAGAGGTTTCACCTTCTTACGGACTCCATGTCTGTTGACTCATCCTCCTGCAAATGTTTGTAGACAGGCCCGGCCACTCTGGATCCATCGATGAGATTTGTCGATTTGTGTTTCCCTCTGGGAATGGGCGGGGTCCTGAAGTAATTAGTCTCCCTGCGTTGTTGGGCTGGACTAAGCGAGAGGGAACTACTTCTGCAACCAGAAGAAAAACAAATAGAGGGGATGAAATCACTGATGTAACGCACTGTTTCACAAAAGCTGCATTGAATCACACAGCGCTCACTAATTCATTTATTGCATCAAATTTATATCATTTTCTGTGTTCATTGATGTAAAACTGGACTGGGATGGACTGACCTTTCTGTTTGATGTTTTAGTGGGAAAAAAAAGCAGCATATTCCACATTCAGTTGACTCTCTGCATAAATCAACTTTGTATTGAAGTCTTAAGTAACAGACTAAGGGATCAGATAGATGTGTATAAGAATAGCAATTTACCAGTAAGCAACACAATTTACATAAACATTAAATAATTTGTCTTTGCTCAATGGAACGGTTGCTGGCAGTTCTGTGAGCTTGTACTTAGTCACTTACTTATGCATTCTGTCCTGATGATAATGCTGGATTAAAAGTCAGGGGATCACCAAAGTCAAGATTTTTTTGTGCCCATCCATCTCAGGGAGCTGATTCACAGAGTCCTCTTAGAGAAAATTAGGTTGTTTTTTTGTTTTTTTTGTAGACGTTGAGAGATATTTCCCTGAATAAGTGAAAACTGCAAGTGATGTTAGAGGAAAATTCAGATCACTAAAGTCATTAGGATTTACCCTTTAGGGACCTTGAATATCTGCAGCAAATTTCACAGCAATCCATCCAAGACTTGTCAAGATGTGGAGCAGAGCGGCGGGCTGACAGACCGACGCTGCCGCCCATAGAGCAACAAAGCTCGCACACTAGACGCTAAAATGTCTGTATTTGTGAACTTTAAAATACACCAGCTATGCGCTCGACCATATGTTAGAAAATATTTCATATACCCACAACAAAATGACCAGCATGTATTGACATCCTGCTGCCGTTAATGATCAAAGTGGCAGTCTTTAGAAACTGTGCTTTCTCCCCAGGCAGGCTGTTTTTAAATTGTACTGTGGGCGGTGGGTGGTCGATTTCAAAGCAGATCCCTGCATGTCCACAGCAATAAAGCAATGACATCAAAAGTGAATCAAAGTTATGCTGCACTATACAACAAGCTGAAGTGTGAGTATATCACGCGAGAACAAACGGCTCCAACGGCACACATGAAACACAGACAGAAACAATTTTCAGTGTATTTGAATATACTCTTGAGACTGAGGCTTCCATGTTGGTCACCTGACTCTGTTTCTTTTGTGAGCAACAGTTCACTTGATTGTGTTAAGTGAAACTGGACCACAAAAACAACTTACTGACATATTATTAATGCTGGGTGAAAAATGTGTTTGTATTGTAGCACTTAACACAAATCACTGACGCTGACAAAACATTCTCCCAGCTTAGTTTTGGCTCTTGGCTCTGTGTGTATAAAGTGGTGGACTCAGTTCTTTTTTTGGTGTTTAAATAGTGATCAGGCTTTTCAAACTCTAAGATTTTCTAGCTTGTACTAAAACTGAACTCCCTGATTCATTTAAAGTCACGCAATAAACTAAATAGTCCCGTGGACATTTGGTTGTTAATTGATAGCTGAATGGAACACTGCAAAAAAAAAAAAAAAATTCTGCTGTAATAATTTCCAAATGTCCATGGCTGTGGAACAATAAGCATGACTAATGTTGGCTCTAGTTTTTGCCAGCATTAGCTTTTGTATCGACTGATGTTGTAAAAAGTTGATCTGAATAAAGCTGAATTATGTCAGTTTTGTTGCCTATTAGCATGCTGATTTATTAATTAGGATTAACGAAAAGCTGCAAAAATTAAACTATGTTTCCTCGGACAAAATCACCAGGCTATTGTAATTAATGAATGTTAAGTGTTACAGGTCTAAAACTGAACGGCAGCTGCTTATCTATACAATTCACCAAAAATGTACCGCAGCATACTCCTGATGTTAAATGGGTAAGCCTGGCCGGGAGAGTAATCCTGCACATATTTTAACCAGTTCCTCTCTTCTCATGCCTTTTTTGGACACAGTGAAGAGAGACAGAGAAGACCGGGAGACAGAGGGGGGTGACATGTGACAGTATGCCACATGAACAGTAGACAGTGTGTGAAAAACTGCTCACTGACTCGACTTGAGCGTATTGATTAGCCTACAAGACTGCAATTTCCTCATAATTCCTTCCAATCATGACAAAGGAGTCTTGGTGATTGATCAAATTCCACAATAGTACAAATGAAAACAATGATTGACCACCGCCAGTGCGATGATTATACATTGACTCGGAAGGTGTTATTTCCGTCTCCTTTTGCTGGCAAAGCATCTAGGAAATATGTGTGAGAGCAGGCAGAGCGGTGAGCTGAGTGCTGGTCACTTTACTCAGAATGTATCGAAACTGTAAATGATCAGTGTTAAATGACTGATTTGTTCATTTTCCCCTGCTGACATGTGTACAACAAAAAGTCCACTATGCAACACAGAGCAGGTGCTAGTCTGACTGCTCAAAGCTTAAATTCATTGATAGAATATTTTTTTGTCACACGGCTCTGTGTCGGTCTGTTGGTTGGTCCACCGCTTGGGTCCGGACTGACTGTTGGATGGATGGATGGATTGTCATTGTCATTGTTTACAGACATTCATGGGCCCCACATGATCAGTCCTGCTGACTTTGGTGATGCCATCATGATGTTGACATTCTTGGTTTTTACTGTTGGATGGATTGCTGGGATATTTGGTTCATGTCCACCTCAAGATGACTTGCCTAGTAACCTTGGTGATCCTCTCATTTTTGTATCAAGCGCCATCATCAAATACCTTCAAAACGTGTTACATTGCTATCAGCCTGTACTAATTAGCAGATACTAACGGTGGTAAACATTATGCTTGCTACACATTATGCATGTGAGCATGATAGGATGCTAAATTTTGCATTTAGTGCTCACAGTGCTGCTCGTGTGGCTATAGACTGCTACTCTTGTTGGTTAAAGAGCAGGCTACATGGTTGTCTGCATTATGATGTCTATATTTTCAGTGATTTATGTGATGTCTTCACCGTCCTCAAAAATTCTACTTCAACAGATATAGTCTGTATTCAAGCAGGTGAATCAATCTGCACATGGTCATACACTGTGATTAAGCCTATGATGCACAGGTAACCTTTTGCAGCAATATTGATGGGCCATATTGACATGTTTTTATGGGGCATTTCTCCTGATAGCTCACAATGTGGTCTAGTTTTTCAGGTCAATAGCTGAAAGCATCTCGACATCATCCATCACAGTCTAGTTCTCCCCTGCCTCCTCCTACTCTGAGAACACGCTGAACAGATGATTGACTGTCAGCTGCCCACCATGAGGCACCTGCGTGACACTGTGGCAGATAAAAAGCCAGGACAGGCTGGCACCATCCCTGCAGCCACACATGACAACCTTTTGGGAAAAAAAAAAAAAAAAAAAAAAAAAACTTTCCTCTGTGACACAGCACTGGTCCATTAAAACAGAGAACAACTGGCGCCTCAGTGGGATTTTCGCTGACGTTGTCATCATAGTCAACCAGACATCTAAAAACTCCCTCTGCATGTACACACAACCTCTGAGTTCCCCATTATCTCCCCAAACATAGCTGCCTTTAATCACTGTACATCCTGTATTGTATGTTCTCACGACATAACGCTGAAGCCTTGTCTACTGCACAATGTAATCAGAGTTTAACTGACTATTTGGAGCCTTATGCACAGTCTGTTCTTTTACATTAACAACACTCTGATCTAGAGTTCCTCCCAGTGCTGCTTTACACAATCAGATCAGGTGAAATGTAGACATTTACCAGCAATCAAACACTTTTAGTGATTTGCCAACAATGAGTGTAGTAGGCGCAAAGGGAAATAAACTTTTGTAGAAATTAGTTCTCACACGTTGTGTTGCTGAATGTCATTAATTGTCAAACTGTGCCTGCACCCATATCATCAAAGCAAAGCCTTTCTGTAAGCATCCCAGATAGAGCCAGTGCAGCACGCTCTATACGCACATCCCTATGTTCTTCTGAGGATTTGGAATGGCAGCTTTTGATACTGACTGCTGTGATCACAAAGCACAACTGCCTCTGAGATCCCTTGTAGCAAAATGTTGTTAATTTTGTTGAATCTTCTGTCATTTGAAGGATGGCATGAAAGGAATTTGGTTGAATCAATGTTTAACTGTGCACATTAAAATTTGCTTCTCCTCAGAGGATGTCTCCGCCTCCCTGTATGCTCTTCCCTATCAGCGTGCAAGTAGTCATTTCAGAATCCGCCTGAGTACACATTTAATCACTTTGCACAATTTACTGGACATGTCATATAAATAAAGACATCTACTTTTTCCAACTATTTTCAGAGACTCAAATTTTCATTCCATGAAATGAGCTAAACCAATAATCCTCCTATAAAATGCCTGAATCTGACTAAGGATATACACACAGGCAAAGCTTATGGTGTTGGCAGTGTATACAAGATATATATGAACATAGCTGCTCCCACTTATAATCACCATAAATCTTTCTGAGAATGTTTACAAATGATCTGTTTATTATTTACAGGTCTATATTTCCTACCATATTGCAGGATGATTAAATTTCTCCCTTGGCTGACTCTTATATCTGGATATTGGCTGACTGAGTGAAAGATACTGTATATGAAAGAGGGCTCGGAGTAAGAGGATGTCACATTTTCACCTGAAGCGTTTCCCTTTAGACAGCGCTCTGCTGAGAATAGGTGGGGCTACCGTTGATGTGCCTGCTGCCACGCTGACGCCCTTGATAGACGATCCATGAGAACTGCAGCTCTGCAAAAATAGAGAAGAGTAGCGCATACAGTGAGTGGTAAAACATGGTAATTGTGGCTTCAGGAATTACCTTCACTATTATCCTCATGCTGTGTAAAATACTCAGAAATTGAGTTTCTTTATCATAGCTTAGCTTGGATTCATTTGTTATAATGATCGAAATCAACGACAAGATGTTCAGGTGAAAGTGATTGTAAATCAACACAGGAATAAACTCAGGCAATAATGTATAATGCTGGTGATACTGTATTAGGCTCAGCAGCAAGTCCCTGCGCAGGTTTGAGTTCCCCGTCAGGCTGAGGATGTTGTCTCACCAACGTAACCCCCCTAACAATAATAATAATGATAATAATCTTTATTTATAGAGCACGTCTCTAAACCCACGTTACAAAGTGTTTCACATGAGGCAACGACTTCAAAACAAACAGATCATAAAAACAATTTCCGATAGAGTAATAAGCAAATAGTCAGGCTTAGTGTCTCAGGCAGAGTGTCTTTAATTACACTTTACATTTTAAACTGCAGATTAGGAGGGGACGCTTTGTGAATAAACTTCACACTGGCCCTTACAGCACTCCCGCTGCACTCAAGAATTAATCCCACACAAGATTACATTAATGGGTTCCTAAAGTATCCCCCCCCCCCCTCAATTCTTCCTTTATTCTTATCAAAATTAACACTATTATCTTACAACAGGCCCCAGACAGAGCTCTGGCATGGCGACCATGAATGCTCCAAGAAGCCCCCTGCGAAACACTAAGTCAGGAGATAATTCTGTTATTCCAGTTACAGTACTTCCTGCGCTGCCCTTTCTCTCTGTCTGATTGTACATCATTAAAGCAATTGCATGTGACTTAGAGCTGGTTCACGGTTCTCATGCCTGATAAGCCTCTTTTTCTCCCTTACACCCCTGACTCCCAGAGGGAGCTGTTACTGCTGTTCACTAGTTGTGCAAGAAAATAGGATCATTTTGGCCACCCTCTCATATACCCTGCGGGTGGAGAGCGCCGCGCTTTCTGGAACAATTGATGTGGCAAACTTTCCTGGAGGACGATATCTATGTCAGGGGACTGTGGCAGACAATGGCGGACCTGTATGGTGCAACCCATTTCACTCGCTCCCTCCTATCTCCCTTTTGCCTTGTTTTTATGCCACTTGTGAAAGCCTTGGATAAACACCAAGCATAGTGGCTTCATTTCAAGGGGAGACAATGGGAAAATACAGGAGCCTGACAGAATAACAGAAGAATTTACCAATCTATTGACTATCTACTACATAATAAGGAGTAAGGAAAACCTATGCAGTCAGAGCAGCGTTAATCTTCCTTTGATTACCATCAAATCACATGTCCTGAACTGTGAATAATGGGATATTTGATCATTCTTCAACAAGACCAGGAGCACGAAACACCTCCAGACATCACCAGTTTCTACTAAAACTGAGCAATGTGTCAACTCTCTGAGCCAAGACGTGACAACTACTGATGGCAAACACAATTTCGGCTCTGCCTGATATCAAAATGTTAATCAGTTGTTTTAGAATTATGCACTGGCATGCACATTAGCATGGAGTTTGTAACTGTTGACAACATTATTAATTTTCAAGCTGCACTGGCCCGTTGTTTTTATTAATCATGGCGATACCTACAGACGCATTAATATCGTCCCCACCGCTGTCACAACACCTGCTGAACAAGTGGCTAATATTCTTCCACCGTTTTCTGCACTGTGCTGTCAGTTTTTTTTTTTCTTCTCATGATAAAAACCACAACTTCAAGAAACATACAGCACTTTCATGCATATGAACTTCAGTCTGTTAGACATATTTCAACACTTTCCCTTGAGGTGAAAATACTTAAAAAAGGAGAGTAGTTAGCCAGTTCACTGAACACTTATCCAATGCCTGTTTATTTAAAGAAGCCTACATAACAGCTGCTGAAACAAATGGCAAAAAACAACGGTACAACAGTAACACAAGAAGAGAAGAGCCACAAAGTCAGCTAAGTAACTATCTAAACAGCTGGCTTTAACAAACAATAGCCACATTAAGCTACTGGTCATTCCAGACCAAGTAAGGATATAGCTGTAAAAACCGTGAGTCTATTCAATTTAGCAAAAGTGGATTTTATTGCTTATGAGTTTAACTTAACATGTGTAAAAGGATGTATGAAATGTTTCCTTTCTCAAGACTTACAGTGTCGCTTTAAACCTTTTCAGTTGATGTTTCAGATATTTTTATTCCACAAACTGCTCTCAAACATGGTCTTTTGCTTTCTGCTTCTGAAGCTTTTTTTTTTTTTTTGTATCTCTGTAAACACACTTTGAAAAATACTTTGGTATTCAAAAATTGGTGCAGTATTGAATCTTGGAAAGAAGACACTGTGTCTTACAACCTCAGAGTTTTATAAAATTGACTGTGGTGTAACAGAACACAGGCTTGTGGCACATTAGAGGGTTTTTGGTACACAATGCTCTGGTCTGTGGCCCTACTCATTCTCTATCCCCATGCAATATTTATACAGTATGCTCACTCGCAGCTTTGCATCACTCCTGAGGGTGACTCAGTTTCTTCTTAGAGTAAGGCTAGAATAGTTAGTTACCACCACTCAAGCTTCCGGCTGCTGGGAATTGAGTTTTTGTGTCTAGTCTTCCCACACTGTATGCCCCTATTCCTTCATGTTGGTGCATGTCTGTTTCAGTGGAGAGAGTCTGGTGGGTGCATACCCTATTACTTTTTATTTGAGACACAGTGTTATTGCCACAGAAGTGTTGATTCAGATCTCAGATGAGGTGGTAGGCGTTTAACTACGCAATTACATTTCGATTTCTCTTTTCCCTTTTCATGATGAAAGTGTTTTAAAAGGAGTTATACGATCATACATGACTGAACTGTTTGAAGGTCTGTGCATTTATAGTTAAGTGCAGGAGTGTATGCAATTCACATGGCTTTTTCAAACTCAAGAGTTACAGATGGAGAGAACGTATGCACAGAAATGTTACCAGATGTGCAAATATGTATAGGTATTTGAGATCACAGATGGAACAGACACAGAATTATCCAACACCTGCTGCATATGCCAGAGCTGGTGCACGGAGAAGTCAGATATAGGACTTCAGGAATATATGTACTGTGGAAGCAGAGCAGGTGCCTATTTAAAAAAAAAAGGGTCTCCTAGCTTTATCTCTTAGCTTGCTTCCACTTGGAGCATTGCTGCAGAAATCACTGTTTAACAATGATGTCAGCATATACTGTATAAGTCTTTGCATTGCTTCTCCACACGCCTTCAGTTCAGGGAGTTGACAGACTGTATTTCTGAGCAGGTTCAAGATACTACAGTAGTGCCTCCCTTTATCATAGAGATGCTGTGGAAGACATTGACCAAAATGGACTTCTGTTTCATCCTCCCCTCTGCACCTGTCTCAACAGAGCTTTTGTTTCCAGCTCATTGTGCTCATCCTCCACCTTACTGCCTCAAACGCACACAGCCGAAACCACTGTGTTGTGATGCCGAGTAGTTATGCAGCATGCACCAAATGTTTTTGAGCCTTTGTAAGAACACTCTGCTCTGTTCCTCCTTCTAGAGTATTTCCATGCTCAGTCAGTTCAACTTTAAAGAAAAACCCGCAGAACTTGTAGGACTGCACCACCCACAGCACACGTCCTCTCTGTGGATGGCTGCAAGCTGAGGGAGTGGGTGGAGATAAGCAGTGGTCTGGGGTCGCTGTGTCAAATATGTGGAAAAATGGGTTTCACTTGTTAATCTTTCTTTGGTCTGCCCCCCCCCCCCTCCTGGGTACTTATAGCCAGTGATCTTTCACATCCCACCATAAGCTTCCCTCACACTGTTCTTTTATAGCTTGTGTTTCTGTGTCGTTGTGTTATTACTGTCTTTTATTTTTGTCTTTGCCTCGTGCCTGGTTTCATCCCAGTGTCCAGCTCGGAACGGAAAGGCATTTTGTGGCGAAATACAAGGCTTCACTAAAATCTGAGCCCTCACATATTCCTGTCACCACATTCTCATCACTGTATATAATAGCCTGCTATTGTGCTATGGGACAATAGGCCTGCGCCTGACTGAAATACATTAAACTGGGCTCCGATGTGCTGAGAATGGTTCAGTGTCAGTGGAACTTTTGGGACTCTTCACAGTTACAAGGTTTCTCTGCAGAGTGTTGCGAACGTGTCTGTGCAGTGGTGAAATCATAAGCTGTGCTCTGGCTTATTTGAAATTCATCTTTTTTTTTTTTCATGTCACTTAAACACAGCTACTTAACAGCTGCAAAATTTACATCAAATGTTGTATCACTTCTCAGCTGTCAACCGCTCAGAGCCATAATTTCAAATGACACCCTCAAAAAGCTTTCAGATTGTGCCAACTGCAGTTCCGTGGGTGGGGCTAGCTTGAGGGGTGTTTGTTTCAGTGGGTGACACTAGACACTGTTGCATTATTAAACAGCGTCAGTACAGGCTACATTTGGCAAACGCAGAAATGACAGAACAAGGCTGAACCTGAATGAGGAATTTTCAGACGACAACAAATACAACTGTGTCTAAAACAAATGCGTTGGAAGATACATTTTCATGTCATCTGAGGCGCAGCTTGTTTGTAATCACTACTCACTATCTACCATTAAACACACATATTGATAGTCATGCGAATTGCAGAAGCAGTTATTTATGTTCTTGCAATTTGTGATGGTGAGTAACACGTAGAAATTCCCACTTGATAGCGCAGGTATGTGATGGGAAAGTAGTGATGGGTATAACTTCCTCAAACAATCAGAGAAAGTTGCACACTGAACAAATAAATCAAAGACAAACAAAAAACAAAAAACAAAAAAACAAATAAAAAGTGCAGGAGCAAATAATAAATGAACAGAATATGTGAGCATTTTAGGTTGCATTCAGGGAAGTGCTAATGCGTTATGGCGATTGCACTCTTGATGAGACCTTTACATGGGTGCATTAGGCTGCCATTACCTTGGGAGTCAGTGGAGACATCAGCCTCATCAGTGCCATCTACATCCTCCACCTGCTCTGCTGTGAATGCCTGGGTCACTTCTTCTCTCCTGCCATTCCTTTTAACTTAACCAGGAGTTTGTCTTTGTGATTTGTTATTGTGAAATCAGATTTTTTTTTCCTCTCTGGCCTGTATGTTTTCTTGCTAAAACATCTCAGTTTGTTTTTCTATGCAAATCAATAATTTGATTTGATAACTTTGAGGGCTGAAAATGTCTCCAATTTGTTTATGCAAATTTTTAGTTCTGCTCCAAAAAAATTTTTTTTTCTCTAATAAAAAAAATAATTTTTTACTAGAGGCTAGCCCTGTCTGCAAAATCAAAATTTTTAATTCAGCAAGTGAACAAACTTGCAAAATACATTCTTGGCATTCTCAGTAGTAAAAGACCACTAGCATGGTGCCATTTAACATTACTTGTCCACCGTACAGTGTTGCTGCGCTTGCATGGTGACTTCAAGATCCCTGACACACCACAGATTAGAATTTCCAATCTGCAGTTTGTCACAGGAATCTGTCATTGTGAACATGACAAGCAGATTTTTCCTGTATAACACATGAGGCATTTATTTTAAACTATAATTCCCCACTGTCTCTCAGCTCATGTCAGATGTGAGTGGGAAACAAAAGGCTTCAGCTGGTAGAGAGATTATTAAGACACGTATCATACATCATCCTGTCAAGCACTCTATAAACTCGGTTTTCTTTGTTTTTTAGAGAAATACTATGGTATATTGAGATGAAAATGATGATAATAATTGTGAAGACATGACTAGAAATGTATTAGTGTTACGTAAAGGCTTACCTTCTGGATTTGAAGGCTGTATTGAAGCCTGGGAGCAGATTTGGACATGAGGCCAGAGGCATTGACACTGCAGTCCCTCAGGCTGCGACTGTCAGAGAAATGAGCCTGGAGTTTTTCCCTGTGTCTCCTGTGGGGGAAAGTGTGTGCAGAGAGTAAGAGAGATGGCAACATTATGACTAAAATGAAGTTCAGAACAAGAGAGGGTTTCATGACAAAGATGGTGGTTCCTTTCACTATCAAATTTGCTTTACTGTCTGTGTGTAAAACAAACACATACTGTTCATATATTAATAAGTCTTGAGATAAGCTCTGCAAACAAACTGTCTTGAACTAGTCATTATAGACAGGCATGTATGTTAGAATGACAGTGAACAAATATACATTTTCATTGCTTCTGTGACAATTCACTTGATTTGCCTCACGGCAAAACTACGAGCTCTCACAGATGTTTGTCAAGCGTTTTACCCTTAAAAAAAGGTAAAAGTAACAAAATGAGCACTAGTCAATTTGCAACTTTCCATGTTTTTTTCCGAGCTGTAACTGAAGGTTTGCTGGTAGTGAAAGGTGCTGAGAAAGGCTACAAAAATAGCATTGGGAGAGAAGATGTCTTGCACAAGTGAAAATTTAATCAAGGCAATGTTCCGTGAAACGTCAATTTCATGCCTTTGTGATAATATTCTGGCAAAAGAAAGTAAGAAAGATTTTCCAGAAATACCAGCACAGACGCCAGAGTTTTGGATTCCTACTTTACAGAGCGAGACTATAAGAAACTGTTTGGTTGGTAACAGGTTTTGATGTATGGATCATGCACAAGTATGTATAAGCTATTCAACATGTCACATCTCTGGTGCTGGGTACAGTGGCATTTCATTTATTTGTGCGTCTGGTAACTTCAGCAGACTTTCCACTTTTCCTGCACCATAAATAGTTTCATTTTTTTCACCTGCCCAATATAATTTCTTCCAATCTTTTCTCATAACCATAAAAAAAGCACTTCTGAACAAACAGCGCGTCTGAAAGAAAAGTAAAATACCATCTTTAAGCTATGCCAAACACAAAATTTGAGAATGTTCTCTCACTTTGGATTAAACTTTGATTGGATTAAAAATTAATTGATGCTTAAGACTTTTGGATTAAATGTTAATTCACCATTAAATGTTCATTTTTAAATACTAGGTTGCTGAACTGTCTCTGCAGCCGAAGCCTGTTTCATGTTTGCTGAGTAAAGGATGTGGCGAGAAGTTCAAATCCAGGAAGCAAAAGTTTCAACGGGTTGAAAAGAACAATCTTAACTGTGACTAAAATGGGGGGTGGGTGTGGGGGGTGAGGGCGACTCACTGTCAAAAAAGAATTAACCAAATTACTAACTATTTAAAAAAGACACAGAATGTAAGTGAAAAAATATAGACCATATAGACCAAAAATATACACCGATCAGCCACAACATTAAAACCACCAGTTTATATATTCATTGGCTGTGTCTGTTTTAATTCAGCCACGCTCAGTTATTATCTAGAAGCTTACTACATCATCTAGTATAGTATAATATAGTACAGTACTTATTAGTTAATGAAGTTCATTTCATTCCAGCCAATGATAATCAGCGACTGATGGTGCATATTTTGCAAGCATCAGCACTATTGTGATATGTAGTCCCACTTCCACGTCTTCCTAATTACCAAACTTTATAACCACATATAATTAACCTGACTTTGATTTTCATTTCTTCTGGTCTTTAAAGTGTACAAGTACATCTCTTATCTCCAACTCCTCTGCGTAGTCTTCAAACCAAATCAAGAATGCAGCTGTGCTAATCTTCTGTGTGAAGCACTGATATAATGCAAATAGAATTTTAGGTCTTTGCTGAAGAGCAGAATGAACTTAAGTATTAGCAGGGAGAAGCTTTTCTATCTGAGCTGCAATGTCAAACAACATTTGGGGAAAAGAGATTCAATTTAATAAGGTTTCTTGGTCTGGATAATTTCCGCTACATTGAACTCTACCGTAGAGCCAGGGCTCTCGGGTCACGCTGACCGATACGAGCTGCACTATTCAGAGCGCCACAGTGCTGAAAGTAAAATCCATTTTTGTTTATCAAGCTGAATTCAATCAACTGAACCTACATTAACTCCCCCCTTTACACTCTGCCATTACTTTTCTTTGTCTACATTCCTTTTCTTTCTTCTACCCGGCAGTGAGTAAATGATTTTGACGGGCTGCTTTAGTGCTGCCTGGTACCCTCTTACTTAGTCACACACATGCACACACACACACACACACACACACACACACACACACATTTAGGGTCTAATGTTTTTGAACTTGATCTAGCTCTTGCCTTGTCTGTGTGTTTTGTTTTTGTGAGGCGTTTTGCGACACACCTGCTTGCTAAAAGCACTTTACAAATAAATCTTACATGAGTATCTGTCGCAAATGTATCCTACACAATTTAGGTCTGATGTCCTGCTAAAACATCCGCTAGCTGACTCACACTTAGATTTTCATTGGGCTCCATGCCATCATAGTAAAGTGCTCTTTCTGCACAGCCGGGGGCATACTCTACTAATGTGGTGCAGGCTGGCATCACTCACTTGTTGCGGCGGTAGAGAGCCATACATGCCACTCCAAGGAGACAGATCCCCGAGGCAATGCTGAAGATGGACAGCACCTGCCTCTGGTAGGTGTCGCCGCTCTCTGTGGAGGACAAAATACAGTTCAGGCCTTTGAATTTCTCCTGTGACACGAAGGACATGGGCTGTGGCTGTGATTGAGCGGGGAGGAAGAGTTGTATCGTGAATTTACATACCAAACCCACACAAACGATGAGTGGACGTACACACTCAGCCACACACAGACATCCACCCACAATCTGTATTAGCATAAAGCGACCATTGCTGCTGTCAGTAAATGTCAGTGTTTGAGCATGGGATAGGGACATGGCAGACACAAGCAGGGCTCAGTGACATGTGCTAACTGAAGTGTGATAATCATTTCGTTCAGACAAACCCAGCAGGCAACACCGATGGACTGTCTCTGCACAGCGGGGGCCACACCAAGCGTGTGTGTGTGTGTGTGTGTGTGTCTGTGAGTGTCCAACTTCTTTATGTGTGTCAGCATTCAGAGACTGATGGCGACAGGGAATTAGCAGCAAATGAATGCTCCCGGAGCTTCTTGTCAGACCCCTGCACATCAGCAACAGAGGCTTAAGGTCACAAGCAGCTGGGACAAGTAGCAGTTGATCCCAGCAGATATCTGTCTGACTGAGCAGCTGGATTGGGGACCTGCACTACTTACTGTGGTGCATGGTGCAGGGGTAAAGGCAGTGCAAATCATAGCCTGACAAATTGTCCAGTGGTCAATAACGAGCAAAGTAAAAGTGTCGATCTAAAACACTGCTGCTTGGTACGTAACCAATCTGCTGACATCCACTGTCGAGAGTTGGAGAGACTTCTCTGTCCTGCTGTCACTCACGACCTTGAACACAACCTCCTGTGACATCACTCAGTCACTCAGACACAATAAACCCTCCTGTGTTTGATCTCACCACCTTGACAGCTACAGGGAAAAGTGCAGAAAACATCACCGTAACCTGTTCATGACCTTTGAGAGCTTGTTTGTGGCTTTTGATGCTGTCAACAGAGAACTGTCCTGGGAGGTCTTCTTCATCCGTGCTTGTCTGCCCAGGTCTATCAACTTCCACTCAACTCTTGTTTTAAGGGCATAGTGACTGTTGCAGAGCTTCCTGTGTTCAAAGCTTACACTGAAGCGCAACTACGCAGTCTATTTACCCCATCTATTTTTTTTTCTTCATTTTCTTCCAGTGCTGCATCAACATATTTAAGGGTAGTATGGTGGAACTGAGTTCAAACTGGAGGGAAACCTTTTTAATATGAGAATGCTTCTGGCCAAAGTTAAAGATAACATCTGAACACATCCTGGAGTTATAAAATGTGGATGTATAAATATATACATCACAGGTCCAAACTGCCCACTCAGCTGCTGCGAAAGAAGGTAGAATGGGTTGGAATTAAAATAGAGCCAGTCCAAAGAAATGCTGCAGGGGGGATCTGATGTGAGACCGTATTGCCTATTTAACACTGGCAAACGGACAAATTGCTACCTGGATAATTTTGGTTGCAATCAAAAAGGGCTGAGATACAGCACATGCATTTGGGCTTTGCTTTATTATGATGAAATTAATAAAAGGTTTTGAAATTGGGATGAATGTTACAGCTTAGCCATTTTTATTGGCATATTATCATCTTCAAAAAGAGCAATCTGGTGTGTCTGACTGGTGCTGGATTTGTGATGTTGACACCAATATTGATATTTCAGGATAATAAAAATGGGATAATACCTAAATATATGCACGTGTAGCAAAGATTTTGACCAGGCTCTATTTAACACGGTTATAAGAGTTGTGATAAAGATATGTTTGGGGCAGTATACTTGCCATCAGAAAAATAAACTCTATTAGCAAACATAATATGCCAATTTCATCCAGTGAAAAATATTGGATTTAAAACATAAATAATACATATAAATACATATTTATACAAAATTATAGTAACTCGATTTTGACAAAATGAAGGTAAAATAGCACATAAACAAATGCAGCATATAAACCTTTTTTTTTTTGCTGTGATAGTCCACTAAAATGTTTTTATGTATATGGTAAAATATACAACTATAATAAGCCAGAATGATTGATAATCTCAGCTCTGAGATCTGTCTGTTTGGTTCTATCTCACTAGTAGTATAAAACTTCTCAGTCGTGGAACAAGTTCTTGACTTGCAGATGCTTGAACCCGTCCTGGCATTTGTCAGGAAGGCAGCAGTGAATATCTGCAAGCTGCAATTTGCAAATGAACAAAAGAAGTTGCCTCTGGTCTCTGTTCGTAAGTAATATGTCACGTGTATATCTGTGCCACTGTAAACCCTCCAGCCTTTACGTTTCATTAGTGAAATGACCTCTCGACGGCTGTATGGTTGAAATATGTGGGACATATCTTTCCATGCTGCCCCATCATCAGTGCTCATGTGGAGCACCACCTGAGACAAGCCTCTGCCTTTTTTGGATAGATGAAATAGGCTTTTCCAAAAAATCTGAACATAAAAACAGCTGTTCACAAAGCTCTGCTGAATGGCTGCAAGGAAAAACCAACATGCAGTCTGTACATAAAACCATTACAGGCCTTTCATGCCTGATGCCTACAAGGCATTCTTGAAATTAGATGCAAGAGCACGTTGGGAAAGGGAACAAACTGAACAGCCTCAGCTATACTGACTAAGCCATGTCATATTAAAAACAAGGACAAGACAATCCCATATGGCCAGCTATGCCATAGCAACCACTCCATACAAGACTATAATGAAGACCATGCTAAAGTATCCATGACAAACTGGGGTATTGAGCCCGAAATACATCAGAGCAAACTAGTGAGACACACAGAGCTGCAGCTGCTGGGCTAAAGAATGCAAGAAAATTAAAAGACAAGATCGTATTTAGAGCACTCAATCCCACTTCAAACACAGCTTTGCTGAATTCTGACTGTCTCAGACTCTGACTGTCACATACTGGACTTATATAACAACTTTCGAAAGATTCTTTGCAAAAGCATAGTCATAATAAGTCATAATAAAGGAGCACAATGAATAAGTAAGTGAGTGTGCCTAGAGCTTACCTCAAAAAAAAAAAGAAAAAAAGAATCTGTGCTTCTGTCTGTCATCTGTCCAGCTATCAATCGATCAATCCAGTTCTCATTTGCTCTAATGCATCCGCCCACCTGCAGTAGCATTCTGAACTAATTTAGACCCCCCCAGATTAAAATCACTGAACTGAGGAGTGCTGTGTGCAGGGGAAGGCATCTCCTTCAGAACGTCTTCTCTTTCCTCCTATTTCCTGGAGCAAGTGTGTGATGTGATGGCAGTGTATGAAGCCATGTTAATGGAAAACTTCACAGCATGCAGTGTTGGTTTTTATGTATGCACAAAAGGCAGTGAGAGAGCGAGGAGAAGACGGCAAAAAGAGAAAATGAAAAACAGTGCGAGTGTGGCAGAGAGTGGTGTGTGTGTGGGGCGGGGGTAAGATTGTATATTCCCTCTGGACAAAGAACAGTGTGTCACTGTTAAAGAAAGAGGGCTAGATAATTTGGTTTTTAAAGATTTGTTAACCACCTGGAAGGTGGAAAGGCACCTTAAGTAATACCAAGGGAATTCCAAAGAGGTTTAAATTGTATTTACATTGCCTCCTGCCACATTGGAAGACATTTCTGTATTAGTATTTGGCTATAAGATGATTTTTCTTTGCATATCCAGATGAAGTATATGTAATTCAAAACACAGGAATATTTTTTCACATTATATATGATGTAACAGTTCCAGAAATCCCTGCTAAACTGACTATACACTCATGTAGGGAGCAGACACACATTCATACATGAACTGCAGCGGTCTGACTTTATTGCTTTATACTCATTACACAACTCCTCTCTAACAGTACTGTTCCTCATGCAGACAGAATACACCTAATTCACCACCACGGTGTTTCCATGGAGACTGGCCCACATTAATTTTCCAAGGTGAGCGGCCTTGTTGTGCTGGATTGTGTGTTTTGTGTGCGGTATTCCACAGACAGAAGGCACATTAAAGATTGAGCACTCCACACAGTCAATGAAAAGTTGTCTTACCCATGAACTCGATCCCAAGTTCATCCGCTGTTCCATTCAAGGCCAGATAGCATGAGAAAAGGGAGGGAATAGGTAAGCAGGGAAGAGGGGAGGGGGAACGAAGGAGAGAGAGAGAATGAAACAGTTACAACATGATGCGCCTCTATCTTACTTAGAATTCACCTTTGGGAGACACACATGCTGCAACAAGACCATAAAGTTGGTTTGACGGCTTTCTCTGACATGGCTCTCCCCTGTGCACCAGGTAATGAGCCAGCCAGCCCCAGATGCTTGGTATGCTTTTCCATGATACACTCTGAATTCACACAGCCTGCAGAAGCTTTGGCTGAAGAAAGAAAACAACAAAGATATGGGGGCTGAGAGGATTAGAGGAAGGATCATGAAAATAAAAGTTGAAAATGACATATCATATAGCTTTATGTCACTGACATTGCTTTTCACAGGCCTTTTATATTGACTTGAGCCTGAGGCATTGCAGTAATTGTTCTCCTCTGTCTCCAAGCATAGCTTTTCAATATTCACACTCTGGTGGCATTAAGATGCACCACACCGACACACACGTCCACATGCATGCGCACCCGTAGGCATACACTGTGTTACACTCGGGTGCGCACACACACTTTGACATAGATCTCTCTCTCTCACTTCTCACTCACTCACACAGTCTTTCTTCACGCAGTTAAGTCTCGTTCCCCACCCGCCAGTGCTGGGGAAACAGATAAAAAAAAAAAAAAAAAAAGAGCACTCGTGTTCTTTCCATCCTGACAGTGCCCCCTTTTCATGTCACTGTAATGTAATCTCATTTAAATTAAAATGAAACCCTCACTTGTAATTGCTTTTCTGATAGAGGTGGTCTGAGTTTTAAATAGAATGCGGCTTGCCAAGCCCCTGACAGATTATACGGTGGGCACCCACAAAAACAAAAAAACAAAAAACAAAACAAACAAACAAAATAAAAAAAAAAGAAAGGCTAACACAGAAATTAAAAAAATAAAATAAAATAAATAAATAAAAAAACATCTGTTCAGGGATGCATTTTGATTGTACCGTGGGGGAAATCTGTCAGTGCAGTGGCTTTATAATTTTGAGGAAAAATAAAAACCACAGAATTGGAGCGAGGTTAGGAAAGGCAAAAGACAAATGAACATTTGGATGAATGGCTTATAATAACACAGGGTTATCTGGCTCTATTATAAAGGGTGTGATTTCAGGAAATATGTCTTTTTACTGTGAAATTAGAAATCCCTGGAAAACTTATGACATCTCGAGAAAGTTTCAGAGCATGCAAATGATATTATTAAATACAAAGCCAAGTTTGTCATTTCCTCTCAGACTGCCTGACAGATTCTTAATGAGGCGAGGGGATTTTCATGATTACGGTGATAACAGGAGAGAAATGAGAAAAAAGCCTGAAAGGCAGAGTCTGGAATCCCCAAATTAATCAATCAATTAACAAATTAATTCATCTTTCATCTTCTGTATTCAAACAGGAAGTAGGTGTCATCGTGATTGTACTGAACACAATGTAAGTTCATCATTTTCAGATTTATCCATGTAGCCTGGAGGATTATTTAACAGATGCAAGCATTTATCATACACTCCTACTGAATAGCCAGTCTCATACCAACTCACAAATTAATGATTAAAACAGTTAAGAGCCAATCAATTCTGGCCAGTGGACATTATGTTTTTGTTTTTTCTGAGGAGTTTTGAATGATTACGATACGGTCCACACTTTTGTGACTAACCGCTTATTGTCACTGTGGCACAAATACTTGCCAAGGCCAGAGAGGTGAATGCAGCTTCTTAGTGATGTTGCCTGATCTGTATTATCCATTCAAGCCTTTCCCCTACGATTGCCCATGGCAACAGTGAACACTTTTCCGCTCCAAACCGCCCCGACTGTCACAGCCTGTGCAGATGATGTCATTACAACACTGATACACATCCCTTCCTCTGGCACTGCCTTGTCTGGAGACATTCACCAATCATAATATGTGCAGGCTCCCAATCCTTCGCACTGGCAACTCAAAGCACCCTGGGGAATCATTTACGGCGTCTTGTGGGAGGCCTTGAGGAAGCTTGGAGAATACCTGCGCATCATGTCAGATGCTTTAAGAGGCAGGAATCTGGCAGGTGGGAGAGACAATGGCAGGAGCGAATCAAATCCTTAATCCCCTCCTTCACTTGGGTGAGCAGGGAACTGGGAAGCCAATGTGTGTGTTTGTGTGTGTGTGTGTGTGTGTGTGTGTCTGGCTTTGTGTTATTGAACCCAATATCCCGTGTAGCTACTTACTCCAGGCATAATATCTACCGGAGATAAATAGTTCAAATTAGGCTTGCCTTCTTCCTCTTTGTAAATCAGCTGGGTAAAAACCAAAGGCTGGCTCACCTCCCGCTTTCCCGTCTTCAATCTTCCACTAAACATCACCTCTGTAGTCTCCAAGGTGCAACTGGCCCAACTGAACATCATTAGTGGCACGCTCTAAAGTCTCTCACAGTTGAGGAAGAAACTCATTGCAGCGCTTTATCAGGTATAAGCTAAATTGCAGCCTTTCCACACTTGCATGCCTCCAATTAAAGACCCCGCCACTTCCCTACTGTGCACCAATATGCAAGACCCCCAAGCTCCTTCTCCCACCCTCATTTCCAAAGCTGAGCGCGCAGCAGTATAGCTGGAGCACCTGGCAGGGAGCCTCTTTTTCCTTTTGTCCCTGGGCTTTTGAGATGCGCACAGCAGACTCTGTTTGTCTTTCTACCTCTGTAAAGATGTAAGTATGAAGGAGTGGCACTGCATGCAAGCCAATCCAAACTGCTCTTCTGAGTGGCTGTTTTGTGGCCAGTCAATACCAAGACAAAGGATGAGGGACGATGGATGATTTGTGACTGTAAGGTGCACAGAGATTGGCTTCAGAAAAGAAAGGAATAGGTAAAAGGAGAAAAGCGTGCGTGCTAGATGAAACTTTTCTCGCCACAGGGTGCAAATTTGCGTCTCATGCTGCCACTTCAATGAGTGAAAATGTAAAATTAAACTCTGCATGCAAACATGAATGAGAAAACAAACACACACACACACACACACACACACACACACACACATACACACAATCAATTGAATTTCACAGCAGCTCGTCCCAATTGTAGTTGTTGTTAGTGTGTGCATGTATGTGTGTGTGTTATTACATGACTTGGCTTTTGAAAGCAGGATAATCCTAAAAACCCTTGGTAATCTGGGTAAATTTTAGATTACTCTGTATCAACAGAGATCAAAATAGGCTTCATTCCTCTCTCAAATCTTCCAGGGTACACTTATCTCTTATGATGGTTCAACAATTGTGGCCACAACACAGCTTTCGGTGGAGAGCAGGTGCTTGCGTGGAGTGGCGATACAAGACAATTTGGATACAGTTTTTGTATTAAAGTTTTCAATATTTTATTTTTGTCCTCTAAAAGAGGTTGGTGATGAGGTCATGGCACCAAATTTACTCCTAAAAATTTCTTAAACATGCTTTGACGAATCTATAATAATGATTTTATAATACTTTTTTAGTATAGGTATTTGATGGGTTTTGCATATAGCGATCCATCTATTTTGGATCTATCCATCTATTTTATGAACTGACTTATCACTTACAGTAATAAGTTGTATAAATGACATTTAGAATGCATAACCATTATATACTTTTGTACTAACAGAACCAGTTAGTCATACTTCAAGGTAGTTCAGGAGCACATAAAAGAAGACAATACAACAGAATTTAAGAACGAAAACAAGGCGAAGGAACGAACTGAACTTTTAACACAACAAAAGTGAAAAGCGGGGCCTCTACACAAACTTGGTGTCTGGCCTTTAAGCTCCCAAATCCTTCTGTTAGATGAAAGCAAAAGCTTATATAACAATAATAGAAGAGGGTCTATCTTTGCTTTCCATGAGATTTTTATATTCATGACAGGTCTGGCAAGCTGCAGTTTAGATGATATCATATGCAGGTTGTTTATATACTGCATATGGATATGTGGAGTACAAAGTGTACACACCATGGGCGGATGGGGATGACTCTTGGCTCCTCACTATAGAGCCCTCTGGAAACGAGCCCACTTTAATGTAACATCTGTGATGGGCGGTGTCTTGCATTCAGCCCTGCACATGTGACATGTAACACTCACCCACCTTCTTTCTGTAGCATCTAAGTAGGTTTTCCACCAACAGCAAACACTCTCTCTTTCTACTGAAACATTGTGTACATGTGTACATTCAGTACCATCTGCGACACATGGAAATGTCTCTCTGAATGGAATCTAAATACATCCACATTTTGTATGTTTACGCGGAGGGAAGATTAAAATATTCAACAACATTGATTTTTTTTTTCTTTCATCTTCTTTCATTTGATACATAAATTATAATAAAACAAAAATCTCTCCAACACAAAATACAGTATTTTTCCCTTGCTGTAATCTATGCTTTTCTATGCATATTAATGAATAATATTACCTCAACAGGTCTCTTGAAATGATGAAATCAATTTGAGAAGGAAAAAATACTGTTAGACTCATTGTTCCCACCTCGTAGATATACCCAATCTGTGAGCTCATAGATATAACTGTTGTTTTAAGGGGCCACAAGATGAAAAATCATTGGAAGTCATCACCTCAAACAGTACTACAGCAGTATTACAGTATAGGAGCAGCCACAGTGCAAATAAAGCTTTTTACCTTAGGAGTTAATGCTGCTGTCTGAGATTCTGAGTGTGTTTTCCAATATGCTCATCAAACTGCTTCACAGGATTACCTTCAGCCACTGTTAAACATGCATGTCCCTGAAACACAGTTGTAGCCCTCTGGAAGGTATGTTTAATCCTATGCCTCAGTCCTTTTGAAATTCATAGTGATATGAATAGAATAATAAGAAGAAATGTATATATAGTATATTTTACTGCAGAGTTTTAAAAATGTATAATGTTTAAAATAACATATTAAACGAACTGTCTTTATATTTAACCTTCTCACACTTATTGTCTCTTATATTTTTAATAATTTAAGAAAATATGCTATAAAAGTGCTGTAATCTATTTTTTTCCTTGAGTGTCCATTTTTGTTGCAAAACACAATAAGATGCAGCTAATCTCAAAGAACACCATAAAAATCTCCTGATCTGGGCACACAGGAAAATTGATGTCTGCCTGTAGAAGATAAAATAAATCCCATCGTGAAAACCGGGCGCCATGAGGGAGCATGAAACATGCTTCCTGACACTGGCTTGTGACCCCATTAATGGACTCTCAGTGGGCCTGGTGGCATCAAACAGAAGGCAATAGGAGTTAAGTTTTCTCTCTGACTCTTGGTGCAGAGGAGCCAAGTCACTCCATAAAACAGTGTGAATTGGTAAAGCCGCAGTCTCACGGGAAAGGCTTGGGGCCTCCAATTTCTCTTCCTTGTACCTCTGACTTTTGCTTTATTTTTTAACTACACTACACAGCTGTCATGGGGATTCAAAGACTTCAGGGGAATTTTTCATGAACAATACGAAACTGAAGACTTTCCTTCCTTTTAGCTAGACTAAAGCAAAGCAAGATTAAAGACCATAATAAAAGATACAGGAGGGTTTATGTGCGGGGTTTAATTCTAATATCTGCACTGTAGCACCGGCTGTGTGGCGGCCAATAAAGAAACACAGTATCATGATTTTCATTTTGACTGTGTCTAGTAAATAAATAATGTTTCTTATTGTCCTCATAATTGCTCATATTCAGAGGCTCCACATTATCACAACACTGTATTGGTGTATGGTCGCTTGTCATGAAAAAAATGGACATATACAGTATATATATATATATAATATCAAGCCTAAAGTAGATAATGCAGCAACTGAAAACATCTATATTCTCATGAATTAAACACAGTAACATGTTATAACATTACCTCTTAGAGTATGTACTGTAACGATGTAGAATAGCTCTCTGTACTAATTTTAGGTTATAGAAATCAGTTGGTTTTTTTGTTTTTTTTTTTACTTTTACATCGAAGCACAAGTAGAACTACTGTATGTAAGCATTTGAATGGACCTGATAAAAACCTTTCATCTCAGGCAGTTTGCAAGTCAGTATGTCCGTGAGTGTAGAGCCACTTTTTATTTATTTACCGGATGGTGTTTTAACCAATATGCCTGACTAAATAAAAGCCTTTAATCTAACGGCTCGGCTCGCTCTGCTAAGAGTGCTAGAATGTTTTGTTTCCTTAAGGCACCTTTATGTTCCTTGGACTTACTGCGGGTAAAACTGCCTTTTATTGTGCACAAGGAATGAGAAACACAACCATATATGTACTAAAATTGTACAAAAAAACCCAAAACAAACCCTAATGACTATTTTGATTCCTCTTCATTAGAAAATAGTTCTTGTGCAGTGTTATGTGCTGCAAGAGTTAATCAGAGGCTGATCTCACTGGATTAATATTTATCTTACTGATACAGTACAGTCAGAGATTCGCTCAAGGCCATGTAGCATGTACTTGGTATGGATTTGTTTTCATGTTGCAGATCAATACAACAATAGTGTAGGATAAAGAAAAAACAGAAAAGAAGGCGTACTTGGGTCTGACAAGATAGCATCTGTCTTGGGTACAAACTGGTCACAGCGCAGTCCATGGTAGCCCTCCTTACACCTGAAAGAGAGAGAGAGAGAAAAAAAGAGAAAGATTTGAGATTAGAAGTTGACAAACCAAGCAAAAAGAACTGAAGTACAACATGAACTATCAGCTGAAGAGACTTTCAGATAAGGAAAGTTGAGAACAGGAAACCTAGACAGAGAAGTAAATGGATGGTAAAAAAAAAAAAAAAAAAAAAGTGGAGTGCTCACTGAGGACTGAGGTGGTGGAGGGAGATACACAGAAACTGTCGAGAGGGGTGGGGTGAGAGGAAAGAGAGGAAGGGGAGGATAGTTGGGCAGGCCTAAGCAGCGCCTGCAGTCTCACTGATAGCACATGACTGACAGGAATGCCAGGTCCCAGTGGAAGAATGGGGTACTGGGATGGAGAGTGCTTGGCGTGATGCAGACGACGCAAGATCTACAGCGGAAGGGAAGCTGCCACGGTTGGAACACTCATATAAACAAAGTCCTGGCAGAGTCCAGATATTTGCCTTCATCACCAAATAAATATCCCTCCACTGTTGATGCCTGCAGATCCCTCAGCAACTATCATAAATATATCCACTGAAATTATGACATTTAAAGTCGGGGCTGTCTATGTTGCAATATTTTAGAAATATCCTTTAATATACAAGAACTCTGCTTGGTTGTAATACATTATGATGCATCTATAATTCCTGTTAATTAGGGATTTCATTTCCCAATCCTTTGCAGATTATTTGAAAGAATAACAGAACAAACAAATTGTACTTTCAGAATGAAAAAAAAAAAAAAAAAAAAGTTACAAAGGCTTGAAGTCAACATAAAATACGGGACAAAAATAGAAAGTTTGGAGCTGTTCCTCAGGACTCAGCCCTAGTTTGGCACAGTCCTCAATTGTTTTGTTTTTTTCTCAAAGAGGACTTAAGCATTTTTCATTCCTGTCTTCAATAGTGGCCATACTGTGAGCACATTCAGTGGGCTGATCCATCCCTCTGCTCTTTCATGGCTTAGGGGAGACAATTGGGGGGATTTGCTTTGATGTGTCTGTTTCAACATAAACTTGTACATGAGTGAGCGATGTGTCAGAATTGTCCATATTTTCTTTATTCCATCAGTCAGTGACATATTGTTGGTGAACTGGGGGGGATTTGCACTTGCAAGTTGTCTGTCAATATCTGTCCACCGTATTTCCACCTGCGTCACAGATCCTACATACAGTATAATGCACTGGGTGAGTGGCAGGCAGGAAGCGGACCATTCAGTCTTACTCAGCTTGGCTTGACCTGGTAAATGAAGATGGAACAACAGCGCCGACAACAAGTGAGCTATGTAAAAACAAACGGAGCAGCAGTTGAGATCACAAGTGTCTGGTTAGGGTTGGGACCAGAGTGAAAACTGTGATGGATTGTCATCTTTTTTTTTTTTCTTGAAACCTCAAGCTGTAGTTTCAGCTCCATTTGTTCAGTGCGTCTCAGCTCAATATGTGCATTTTGTTATCTCTTCTGTTTACTCTGTGATGCAGAATGGAAACGCACAAGTGATGAAAACAAATAGTATCTAATATCTAATTTCATGCTGGTTCAAAGCTGATGATAGTGCTAATGCAGCCGCATCACCATTTTCTCAGGGTGTCCGTTTTTTTGTTTTTTTTTGCTTTCCAGTTTGAGCCTGTTTAGGAACCTGCTCCTGCCAAGGTGGGTGAAGTAGCAAAAGGTGAGGTTGTGCCTTGGTGCCATGGTGACGCAGTGCAATTTTTGGCCTGGATCCATTTTCACTTACGCAGAGCACCTCATAGCAAAAGATTCAAAAATCATTCAGTGGGTTATGTCTTGATGAAGATTTTAACGTGTATTAGCTGATTTTTGTTATTGTTTTTACAAAAGAACTCATTACAGCCACTTTAGGAAAATGGTGAATAAAGATGTAAAAGTGATGGGTGTGCTAGACAGTGAATGTGGAAAGCTTTTCAAAACTGAGTTCCATTCATAGTGATCAGCAGCCCTGTCAAGCTGCAGGGCGTGATCGTTGAAACGGTCATTCTGTATTATGTGGCAGTAAAAATCTCTCTAACAGCACCTTTAAATAGGGGGGACTCATTACTCTTCAACTGATGTATGAAAAATATCCTTGAATTAAGCCCTCTAAATCTTCAACCCCAAACTCTTTGTATCATTTCATTTCCAAAGTAATAAGCAAAACACACAAAACCTCTATAGTTCTCCGCTCAGGCAAAGGAGGGGATAAAGAACTTGATTTTCTACTGTCACCATCTCTCCTACAGATGTCTACCTCTTAATTAAATTGAAAAGAATGACTAATTCAAACACCCTGGCATTCTCTGAAGTCTCTCTCATCCTCTCTTAAATGCACACACACACACACACACACACACACACATACGCCCGATTACGCTGTGTTATGTCGTCCTTGAGAGCGGCACACAGAGCTATATACAGTAATTCTGCTGGGGGTGATTACTGATGCTTCCTGGAGATATTTTGGGGAAACAATTATACGGATATGATGACATAACAGATCACAAAAGATCACAAAATCTTACGTTATCATACATCAGATGATAATGCTCCATAATAATGCTCCATTTTAAAAAGTATTCATTCATATATTGCCCAAGTCTTGACCACTGTGCATTTGTGAGCCAGGCCTGGGATAATTAATTATATGCATAACAGAGTATCTAGCATAATAAGAATTTCAAGCATCAATTGGATTTGTATGGTCACTGTTCGTAATGCACTCAATATGCATTTTAGGGACAACATAGGCGAATGTCAACATGATTAAAGTGACCTGAAAAGCATGCATCGATGAAAATCTGAAACAGAATATCCATTTAAAAGTTATTGTTAATCACCATAGAGATAGACCATTAAATCAGAGTGGACATTTTACAGTGAAATGGAATATGCAAAAGAAAATGCCATATGATGCGTAAAGCACCAGTCCAAATGACTAATGCAAAGATATAAGATTAATTACCAAATGAAAACTGCTTTTGTATGGGGAGAAGTTAAGTCAGGGCCACAGTTTGGGAGGGGTGGAGTATCGACACACACATTCATCTTACATCTGATGTTAAAATTGAATATTTGCATGAACTTTTTGTAAGAAACGTTGTATATCAAAGGAAACAGGAGCCTTTAGCTTTGGCTAATGTTCTTGGTACTGATATAAACTTTGGGCATCCCTTTGTTCTATTCAGCTGAAAACTGAATCCTTGATTAAATACAAAACACATGCACTGTCACTTCTTTTTTTTGTTTTTTTTGTCAGCGTGCCAATCTCAGTCAAACAGCCAATGATGTATCGTAAAATCCAGGGAGGCACCCAAAGGCAGCCAGTCAGATTTCAAGGGTAAATCATTCCTCCGCTCGCATCACTTGCCTCTGCCCTACCTCACACCTTTTATCCCTGAGAGTGAGCTGAGACGCCTTGTTAGTATTCTGAATCACAAACCCAAAGGCAGAAAGCCTGTCTGGCTATCTGTTTACGTCTGGGCTTGCTTTCTGTTTGTCTATGTCTCCATCTCTCCCCTCCTACCATCTTTGTAGCACTGTAAAACAAGCTCAGCCATCCCTCAATGAGATGCAAACAATGCTTTGTAAATGTGTTTGTGTGAACATGGCGTCGAAAGCCTGAATAGATGATAAACAATATGAGATAATGACGTGCTTTGAGTGAGTGTTTGGGTGTGTATCTCCACTGAGGGAAAATGGGAGAACAAGAGCTTGTACTGTATTTGTGCGTTTGTGTGTGTATGTTCGTGTATTTCAAAAAGGGGGAAATATCTCACAGTGAGCCCAGATGTGTGTGAATGTGTGGACTGGAACACGTATGACGGCCTTTTTGAATGTGTGTGTCTGTTTATATCCTGCAGCCACTGTGTGTATGAACAGCAGCTATAGACTCGGAGCATGTTTTCCCCCACTGCTCCAGAGCTGTCTGTGACTACCCAGCTGCCTTTAACACATGTTCCAGTCACAGGGAAAACACACCTCTAAATCTGGAGGATGACAGAGGGGTGGAGAGCACTGCCTCATGACTAATTACCATTCTGCCTGTTAATTAGCGTGAAGAAAAATAAAGGATAGTCTGAGTGCAAGGGGAGGGAAAAGAGGTTCAAGGAGGAGAGAAGGGATGGGAATGTGTTCAAGTCAACCAAACTTTTCATTTAGCTTCTGACACCCATCCATATTAACCTCCACACATCCTATATAATAACTCCATGTGAGCTACAAGTGATGTGGCACAGGGCAGGTACCATAGCTCACTGGAAATTAAAACTGCTCCAGGTGTGTGACACTTCATGTCTAGACTGACTCAGGCTTGCAACTTGCTTTTGGATGCACAATATCGGGTTGTCATTGATAGTTTTAAGAGCATCAATTGTGAAATACAGAATTTGAAAAGGGGCTTAATCACTCACTTTTTCCAGCATCGGTTGGCAACCAATTCTGTCGGGCAGCTTATGGTGGTCTTTAATTAATATAATACGGTCATGGTTTTACAAGAGAATTGAGTCAATTAAGTTCAAAGTTCATTCTTTACTTTGGACACAGCAGTTAACATTGTTTTTCTGAGCACTCTGAAGCGCCTCTTTGCTTTTTTGCGAAGACATAGATGGGAAGATCAATCTTACTCTCACATCACAAAGACTGGAAACGGGGGAAAATTGTGCCCTGCAGCCACGAAATAGTGGCACACATACGACGCCCCTGTAAAGCTGGTGAACTTTAGTGGTGCTTGTATGCAAAGTTTGTTCCCTTTAGACAATAATGTTTATGCTAAGCTAAGCTAACCAGCCCCTGGCTATAGCTTGAAGTGGCAATAGACAACTTTCTCTCCTTGTGCTTCCAAGTGGTATTAATGTTGTTTCCGCTGACACAAAGAAGAATATAGTACATTTCACCGCTGCTCATTTTTAGAAAGGTCACTGCCAGGAAATGTGTTCTTTGTATAGATTATCAAACAGACAAGGAATAATTTGTTTCTGGCTGCTAGCTGTAGTGTTAG